AAAAAAATTAAAAAAGTTAAAAACTTAAAAAAAATAAAAAAAACTTCAATAATAATATGAGTGAAATAGTTACATCTATTAAACACTATTCCAGTACTAATGATATTAATGGATTAAATAACTATGTTCAAAAAATTTGTAGTGACAAAACAATGAGTAAAGCAAAAATAGTTAAAAGTTTATTTGAAATTCTTGATACACTTTCTGGAATATCAAACTCATCTCATTTACTTATTTCTGTTTGTGAACAAACAATTGAATGGGCTAAAGTTTCAAATAGAACTTATTTAAGACAAAAGTTAGAACAACGACTTGCTCAATATTATTATGAAAATGGACAATGCAGTAAAGCATTACCATTAATTACTGAATTATTAAAAAATGCAAAAAGAACAGATGATAAAGTTCTTGCTGTTGAATTACAATTATTAGAAGCTAAAGTTCATAGAAAAGTGAAAAATTTAACTAAGGCACGTGGTGCTATGACTGGTGCTCGTGTTGATGCCAATTCAATTTATATTAATCCAACACTTCAAGGAGAATTAGATATTTGTAGTGGATTTATTAATGGAGAAGAACATGACTATATTACTGCAGCAAGTTATTTCTATGAAGCATTTGAAAATTATCATTCATTATCATTAAAAACACAAACAATTTCAGCACTTAAATACCTTATTTTAATGAAATTAATGCAAAAAAAAATTAATGAAATTGACTCTGTTCTTTCAAGTAAAAATGCTATTAGATATTCTGATGATATTGAAATTGTTTCTATTAAAGAAGTGTCTAAAGCATTTAATGCTCGTAGTATTGAAATGTATGATGAAATATCAAAGAAATTTAATAATCAATTATTTGGAGATGAATTTGTTAAAGAAAACCTTACTATTCTTTATGATGCATTAGTTCAAGAAAATATTGCTCGTGTACTTGAACCATATTCTTCAATTGAATTATCTCATGTTTCTAAATTAGTTGGAATGGAAGTTCATGCTGTAGAAAAAGTTATTAGTATTATGATTCTTGAAGAAAAGATTAATGGTATCATTGATCAGAATAATGGTATTCTTATACTTTATGATGATATTACATCAAATGTTTGTTTTGTTTTTTATTTCATTAAATAATACTTATATTTATAGAAAATACTTTCTAATGGTATTACTCTTATTGAAGAATTAAGTAAGGCTATTGACTCTCTTAATGACAAAGCAATTAAAGTGATTCAAGAAACTACCCTTTCAACTCAGCTTTAAGTCATCATTTTTTGTTATTCTTGTAGTTTTTGTGTTTCTTTGAAGGATGAACTAAAATAAGTAATAGTAAAAGAAAAAACAAAATATAATAAATAACCCTTTAGGGTAATTTGAAAAAAATAAGCACTTGAAAATAAGTCGTTAAGAGTCAACAATGGGAAAAGTTCACGGAGGTTTAACAAGAGCTGGTAAAGTCAGAAATCAAACTAAGAAACCAGAAAAAGTAGATACTGGAAAGAAGAAATTCCCATCAGGAAGAGCCTATCTTAGATATCTTTATAGTAAGAGAATGGTTATGTTGAACGGCGATAACAAGAAGTACAAGTTCAACCCACAAAGAATTAACTAATGAAACTTGGATATTTTTAAATGATTTTGGTTGTTTATTTGTTATGATACTCATAATATTTAAAAGTGAAGAAATTCATCTGATAAAGAAATTCTAGTTAAATGGTAGACTTTTTCATTAAATAGACTCCTACTATAATTCCAATGATACAAAGTATCAAAACAAGAATAATCACAATGAAAATTGTGAAAATAATTATTTTCTAATGATTTTCTTAAGTATTTATTCTAAATAATCTTTTTTAAAAAATAACAAACTATTACTAATTTTTTTTTAAGATGATATGTTCTTTGTAACTCTTCATTTATTTGTTTGGTATATTCTTTTGTTGAGTTACAGTTCTCTTCTATTGAATTAATTAACTCTCCTTGTGTTTCAATTAGTACAGCCAGACTGACAAACATCCCATTAATTTCTTCAATAGCATCATTAATTGACAACAACTCTCTATGTCGTTCTTCCAAAAAGTTAAGTGCAATTTGATCTTCTTCCTGTTGGAGCTGTTGAATAAGGGTGTTTTCAGTATTTTTCTTTTCAACACTCTCTTCAATCACATTATCATTGAGAGATGGATTATCTATGATTGAGTAATATGCTTAAAACAATGAGAAAAACAAACAAATTTTCATTTTTCTAATGACTTTCATTTTAAGTGATGACTTTATATCTAATTGAATTGTCTGGTATTGTCTCATTAAAGAAACAAATTGTATGGTTAATGAATTTAGATGATTTTTTTTAATTCTGTCTATTGTTTCATTTGATGAACTATTCATTGAAAGGTCATTTATCTTTTTCATTTCTTTGATTTCCTTTTCAAATTTCATTGACTCTTTACATAGTTTACTGATGAGTTGTTTGATACTGCTTTGATCAGAACCTTCTTCAGTGTCATCAAGTTGAATAAGCATTAACTTTTCATTCAGTACATTAATATCTGTATGGATGTGGAATAATTGAACTCTAAGTTGATGGACATCATTTAGAAATTGTTGAAGCTCATTCGGTAATTCTGTTTTAATTGCTATCTAGATGTTATTAACGTTTGATATAAGAAATAAAATATTCAAACGTTATTTGTCATAAATCAAATTAAT